CCTGCGATCTGGTCCAGTGCGATCTGCAAAAAAAAGTGCGTGCAGCATTTTTGCAGATTACACTTGACCGGAACGCAGGTGCCAGTGACCGCACTGAGGGCGGGGGGCGTGGACTTCAATGCACCGAAAAGCCCCCTCCCGCCTCAAAACAAAGTGAGCCAGCCGGGTTGCGTTCCAGAGGCCGAATGCACTCTTTATGGTGTGACTGGGCCCTTATACTATGGACTTGCTTAATAAAGCCCTCCTGCACTGAAATTGTTTGCTTGCTACCATGCTGAATAAAGGTGCAGGACAAACCTGCCTGGACTGTTCCCGGTTGTCTCTTTCTTGTGCACGGTTAACAAATGCCAATTCCAGTTGAGCCTGCCTCGGTTTCCAATATATATTTATATACATTTATTTGCCATGCTAGGACTAAACAACATAACTTGGCTACTAAGGACCCCTTCCTACGACAGGCAGTGCCCTTGTTGCCTACCTGAGACAGAGGTCCATAACGACCCCCGAAATGTCACTTTGTCCCATGGTGGAAAAAATGCTTTGCTCATACTTCTTTTTAATGTTGTTCCAGTGATACCTTTGTTTTAAGACTTTGCGTTTAATTGTGCAGTCCATCATTTCACTGCAGCACTCGGGTTTTGGGTCTTTGGCAGTGATATGCAAGGGCTTGGTTTGAATCCAGTTCGCCAAGTCTGTGCAAAACTGTAAATGGCATCTGCCCCTCCTGGCCCAATCGGTACCAGCAGGTGCATTCCCCATCCTGCAGCTACTTTTCAAAAAGGGGCAGGGAATGCCACTGCTGCAACAGATTGGGCCAAGAGGAGGGTGTGTCAATCATAGTTTTGTACAAGCTTGGGCGAACTCCGTTGAACAGGGATTGCACCAAGAACTCCCCCCATATCACTAGTCTTTGGCTGACGGGAGTGCGCTGGATTACACAAATACACATACATGCATATAGAAATAATTTATTAGAACACTTAATCACATGTTAATAAAGCAGCTGTCAAATCTAATCACGTGGCACAGAAAACCATACAAATATAGGTCAGGAGACTCCGTTAATGCTCACACCAAACACCAGAATGGGAAAAATTGTAATCTTGTAGGTGCCTGATGGGCTGGTTTGAATAATTCTTTAAATGATGATCTCCTGGGATTTTAGTCAAAATGGTGCAAAAATGATTGGTTTGAGCCAACAGAAAGGCTATGGTAACTTAGGTCACCACTCTTTACAACTTTGGTGCGCAGAAAAGCATCTCAGAATGCACAACATGTTGACCCCTTGAGGTGGATGGGCTTCAACAGAAGAATACCACGTTGGGTTCTCTCCTGTCAGCCAATAACAGAAATCTGAGACTGCAGTGGAGAGAGATCTCCAAAAAATAGGTCAGTTGATAACTGGGAAAATTAAGCCTAGTCTGATGAATCTAAATTTCTGTTGGAGCGCACAGGTGATAAGCCAAACGCCAGATCTGAATCTAATGGAAACCCCTTTGGGATGTAGTAAACAGAAATTGCATAATACAATCAAGTCAACGTGAATCTGAATTTCAAAAAGGAATGCTTGTGGAATTTAGAATCAATGTCACAAAGAATGTAGACGGTTTTGGGAGCAAAGGGAGGCCAGGCCCTACTCAGTATTAGTGTAGTGTTCTCAATGAATTGCTCAGTGAGTGTATATCTCTGCATGAACTTTCCCTTGAATGGACTTTGCTTGAATGCTTATTACTCAAAAAGACTAAATGTGAAGTCATAAAATAAATGAGTGATATCTTGTGAGGACACATCCGTCACAAGTCCAGATAAGGAGACTTGGATAACTTCAGAATGTCAGAGACGTCAACAGGATCTTGGAAAAACTGTACATTTCTGCTGTTGGCCAAAGAAGTGACAGGACAGAAAGTGAAGTCAAATCTCACCCCCCCCCCCCCCC